GTATATTATTACATCATAATAATACACTCTATGATTGTACAAATGGAAGGTATTCATACCATTTACTGTCTGTACCATACTATTAATATATATTTTAGCACCTAAGTATATTAATTTTCATACTCAATTAGTATTGTTTTAAACAGTTTTTCAACTAATTTCTAAGTATTGGCTTTTTAACAGGACTGAAAACTCCTTGAGAACAATTACATCATCAGATGCTACCTGAACACCCTTAGGTACGAAATAAAAGATTATATTAATTCAATAAACAAAGGGCCTATATCACTTCACATCCACTGAATTTATTAAAATAAAAAAGCCTCATCTTTTTGAGCATGTAACTGTAGAAAGCTTACCTCTCACTGTTGTCTTCCATAGTATCTTGCATTTTAGAGGAAAGTCCTGTACATCGGTCACCTGTCAGTTTTTCTTCTTCTAGACCTATTCTGTTTCCGTTGTATTTTTCAGTCATTATTTTGTTTGGTAAATGATCAAAAGCAGGAGATAAATCTTCCTTAGATAGTTCTTTCCACTGTTTCTAGGTAGGGAAGAGAAATGACAGACAAATGCAAACACTGTTAGTCACAGTAATAAGGCTTTTATCACATGCAGCCAGATCCATGGAGCTCAACGACCCCAAACAGATTCAACCCAAAGACGTTCTCTCCAAGGCACACTATAACCCAACTGTCAAAGACAGAGATTTCTAAAAGCAGTAAGAGAAAAGTGTCAAAAGTCACCTATAGGGGAATCCCCAGCACATTTCTATCAGCAGATTTCTTAGCAGAAACCTTGCAGGCCAGGAGAGGATGGGATGATATATTCAAAGTGCTGAAAGAAAAAAAAAACTACCAGGAAAGCTTTCCTTCAGAAACGAAAAGGAAATAAAGTCTTTCCCAGACAAGCAAAAGCTACAAGAATTTATCACCACTAGACTGGCCTTACAAGAAATAATTAAGGGAGTTGCTTCAACTGGAAGCAAAAGGACAATGATCGCTATCATGAAAACAATGAAAGGGCCACTTCACTGGTAGAGGTAAATACATTATCAAATTCAGTAAACTCCATTACTGTACTGGTGGTATAATCTTTCAAATCTCTAGTATGATGGTTAAAAGTCAAAATGATCAGTAATAAATAAAGCCACAATAAGTTGTTAAGGAACACACAGTATAAGAAGATATAAATTAAACAACAAAATTATAAATTGTGTGGGTAGGGTAAAAGTCTAGAATATCTGCATAAGACCAAAGTTCAGTTATTATCAGTTTAAAATACTGTATTATTAATCTATAAGATTTTTTTTATGTAAGCCACATAGTAACCACAAAGAAAAAAATTACAGCAGATACACAAATAAGACAGAGAAAGAAGTCAAAGCTTGTCACTACAGAAAATCACCAAACCACAAAAGTAAACAACAGGAGATGAAAAAACGAACAAAGTATATATAAAACAAGCAGAATAGGCCAGGTGCGGTGGCTAACGCCTGTAATCCTAGCACTCTGGGAGGCCGAGGCAGGAGGACTGCTCGAGGTCAGCAGTTCAAGACTAGCCTGAGCAAGAGTGAGACCCCCGTCTTTACTAAAAATATAAAGAAATTAGCCAGACAACTAAAAATATATAGAAAAAATTGCCGGGCATGGTGGCGCATGCCTGTAATCCCAGCTACTCAGGAGGCTGAGGCAGCAGGATTGCTAGAGCCCAGGAGTTTCAGGTTGCTGTGAGCTAGGCTAACACCATGGCACTCTAGCCCGGGCAACAGAGTGAGACTCTGTCTC